GGGGCATGGGGGGGATTGTCTGGCAAATACAGATCCCTAATGATCCTTTCTGGTTAATCTGTGAAGAGTCGAACATAGCGCAGCCTACAAGCTTTTCTCTCTGGGAGCACGAACAGCTGCTTGCTCATAATTACGTTGTCATTCACTGTTTGGAAGCGGAAACCGCCACGGATGCCTCGCGATCTTATATTTGCTTTATTCTTTTAAAAAAAAAAAATTCGGAAATTATGATTATGCCCAGCAAAGGTGGCGCCTCATGTGTGGAGAGTGTCAACTTTAGCGGCCAAGTTTTAGTCGTCGGAAACATTTGTAATCATTTCCGTTCTAAATGCGCGGATTTGAGAAAGATTTCATTCATATATGACATAAAGACGGACGCTCAAAAAAGATGGAAGATCTGGATCGAGGTGGACATGGAGCAGCGGCCTTGATTACAAGGTGTAAAAATTGCCAGGAGCAAGAAGGTGAAAGCAATCAGGGGTGAGAAGATTGTGGCATTCGTGAGGGGCAACTAATTATCCGAGTCATTTGTGGAGGGAAGCATTCGAGGCAGCTCGAGCCCACCGACTGGTGACAGATTGGTGCGGAGGAGAAGGGGAGGTGTTAGAACAATGGAGCCCTGCTCCTCATCATTAATGCGCGCTAATCAGCAGTGCTGCCGCACCACCAGTCGGTGCTGGAGACAGTCAGAAGGGGGGTGGGGGGGGGGGCCTGGGAGTCAGCCAGGGGGTTCGAGACCAGAGGGTGGAAAGTGACGCTACTGGCGCTCAGCCACTGCTTGTTTAGTGCGGATAAACTCATCTCATGCATCTTCGTCTCACTCTTGACACTAAAATTGTAGGTCCCTATGTGATATCACATTCCTACTCTGAATTATAATCAATAAAAGTCAGTTTGTCTTTTTTTTTTGTTTTGTTTTGTTTTTTTTTTTTTTTTATGAAAATTGATTTGCAAAATGATGAATTCGACTCAAAAGTAGCCCATTTGAAACGACACACAGAGTTATGTCATTATATTTTTTGTCTTGGGGGTTCTGGGATGGTGCAAAAGTATACACTGATTTTACACAATTAACCCCCCCCCCCCAAAAAAAAAATTACATTCTGTGCTTGAAAATAACATGTTGCACAAGGTCCACTGTGCTGCCATTTGACATTATGCGTAATTTTAAGTTCCATACTGGAACTTAAAGTGATCAAATGTAAAATGTAGTTTCAGTAAGCATTGTTTTTTTCGAAGCACTCATTTTGATTTTATGTTGTTAACGGAAGTGTTTTTTAACCCTGGAGAACCCACGGGGTCAAATTTGGCCCCTATAAATTCTGCTCCTCAAATGCTACCTTTAAATCCCAAAGGGTCAAATTTGGCCCTAATCCTAAATTAGGATTAAAGCATGAAATATTTGAAAAAACATATATTTTGGTGTTCGGTGAACATATAGCAGTCATTTAATGTAAAATTCGTCATTTTCCAAAGAAGAAAAGGGTTCTTGGGTTCTCCAGGGTTAATTTTAGCTTGTGCCGCGTTTTAAAAAAAGAGAATATTGAATCCAATGGAAACCAAACAAAGCTAGCAAGTGGATTGGGAGTTGGGGCGGGTGGGGGTGGGGGGGGGTCACCTGACTTGATTGTCCTCTTCACGTCAGTGTCATTGAGAGGATTAACAATTTCGGAGAGAAGCATATTCCTCGGTCGGTGCCTGGGTCACCGTTGGCATGAGCGGGTGCCAACTCGCATGGCGACGCGAGCCGAGAGCATCGCCTGCCGCTCGACTGGCCGCCCGACGGGCTTCTTCGTGTTCGAAGAAACGTGTTGAAGCCGTCTTTGCCTCTGTTAAGTCTCACGACACCCCCCGCCCCTCCTCCATTGCGGAGAGCGTTGCTCTCACATGAGGCTTGGAGCAAAAGATTTGGCAGTCACAGCTTCTGATGACAGAGGCAGTGGTGCGATCGCACCCACAACCCCAAAGGACGCTCAGATTACGGGCGGGTGTTCAGTACACATGCATTGCAAAGGCTCTGCTCATTGCAGGTCACAAGCTCGCGTTTGTTGAAACGCCGAGAGTGTCAGTCGAGGGTTGCAGTCAAAGTAAACATCAAACAAAGAGAATTACACATATGGAAGGTGGATTTTTTCGCTCGAACTGTCTGTAAAAACGGACAAAAGAATAATAGCACTGGAAAAATCATCGTCTGGTCTATTTTTAACGCATTCACTTTTATTTTGTCGCTGTGCATCAACGATATTCATCGATTCTGTTTGAAGCAATTTCAGCAAACCCGATTTGAAGTCCAGTTCTGCATTCAAAATCGAACTCTGGATTTATTGGAATTAACATTCAACGATGGTCATGTGCTGGACATAAAGAAGCGTTTAGCTGCCAATTTTAGCACCCCGCCCCCTCAAAATGCGTTTGGAGCTGTCAGCAGGCCGTTACTTCATTGCGGTCGCTAACTGCCTGAGAAGTTTGCTG